CAGCATTCTGGCTGCTGGATGGAATGCTTGCATTTTGTTTCAGAGTGGTAGCACCATCATTTCTAACAGTCACATCACCCTTTCCATCTGGAATCCTTTTATCCATTCCTTTTGGTTCAAGACCTGTTCTAATAGCATCAGCAACAGCTTTGGCTGTGACGTTGCTGAGCAGATCTGGGCCAGCTTGTTGTGTCCCTGACAGGCACCTTTCCATAGCAGCTGGCAGCCTTGGTGGGTGCCCTACCCCTTGGTGGGTGTCCAAGGAATATCTTTATAATATTTAATCTTCCCCTTCATGTATATGGGATGTCTCTTCATTTAGTCAAATTGTCTTTTACAACTTCCAATAGTTTCATGAACTTTTTCATGTTGACTAAAACTTTCTTGTTAAGTGTCATATCTTGTCTTTTTTTTTTTTTCCTGTCAGGTTCTAAAGATTTGCTCCTTCAGGATTAGGAAAAAGCTCCAGGGTGGCTAGGTTCACTAGAGTTAGGGGGCCACAATAATTTACCAGCTGTGGGACTTTGGCCATGTTACTTTAAACCAGGTTCTCAAAGTACGGTCCCCAGACCAGCAGCATCAGTCACACTTGGGAACCTGTTGTGAATGCAAATTCTCAGGCCCCACCAGAGACCTACTGAGTAAGAACTCTGGGGGTGAGGCCCAGCCATCTGCGTTTAACAAGAACTTAAGGTCATACTGATGAATACTTAAGTTTGAGAAATATTGCTTTAGACCAGTATTTCTTAACCTTGGCTGCACAGCAGAGCCACTTAATGAGATAAAAAAAATACCATGTCTATGCTTTTTCTTTCCCCCCACCCCAATTATGATCAGTCTGGAGTGGGACCAGAGACAGGGATAACCTCCCCTAGGTGATTCTAGAGCATAACTAGAGATGAGAAACATAGCTCTAAACTTAAGTTCATGTATAAAATGGGGGAAAATAATACTTACTTCATAGAGCTGATATATGGATTAAGGGATATACTTATATGGAAAGAAAGAAGCAGAGTGCCTAGCAAATGGTAAAACACTCGACATATGATAGTTATTGTTATACTACTACTCAGATCAGAGCTACATCATCAGGTCATGAAAGGACACGGGGAACTTGAGGGCTCAGTGCTGGTTCATTCAGGTTATGACTCCTTGGTTGCCAGGCTATGCCCACTCTAGCTCACTAACCAGAATTTTTATGGTTGCTTGTGGGTCTTTGCTCATGCTATTTGCTTTAACCCTTTCTCTCTGCTTGTGGAAATCCTACATATAAGAATATGATTAAAGGTGCAGACTTTGGAGTCGCAGTTTGAATTTAAAACTTCAGTCTAGACACTTACAGCTGCATGATCTTGGAGCACATCTGTAAAACGGGGATACTTGTCATATGGGGGTGGGGGAGTCAAATAAGATACAAACTACAGAGACAATGCCCAGCATGTAGTAAGTACTACGAAAATGTTACCATTACTCGCATTTGTTGCTTTCACTGCTTGTCATTCCTGATGATGCAACATTGATCTCTCTTTAACTCTTTTATTAAATACTTATATTTTTTGTTACCAGTTTGGTGCTTAATGCATTGCCCATTTCTCATATATATTCTCAGAATAGAGCTCTTTTTAGATTAACCTGTATCCTCTCCAAGACTTTCAATTTCTATTTAGAATTCTGTTTTCATTCTAAACTTAACAGCCAATCAATCATTTTGTGGCTTTTCTTGGAAAATGATCCTGCACGGAGCACCCATTTGGATTACCTTATTGAGACAATCCTAGGAGGAGCTCATGTCTTCTGCACCAGGGACAGAGAAAGCTCTCTATAAATGAATGAATCTATGCCCTTTTAGAAAGATGTTTCCTTAAGTAGAATGAAAAGTCTTAGAATCTATAATGGTTTAACTCTAGCTTATACTTTAATATGAACCTATAATATTGCTAGATCTCTAATTACATTAGAAAATTCCATCTGGGTAGTTTCATGATTCCTCTCTCCATTTTGTTCCTTTATTCACTTAATAAACATTTCACTGTTTTTAAGTTTAGCATAAATGTTTTACTGTTTTTCCAGTTATCTCAATATCCAGGGTTAGACTATTTCTGTTTTATCTAAGTCTTCTCAAATGTATTACTGTTTCTTTTGCTGATTCTATCATAATTTTTTTTAAAGAAATTCTTTCTTCTCAACTTTTCTTGAGTATTTAAGAAAAATAACCATGAGGATAGGGTTTTGTTCCCTGTTCTAACTCTCTAAAATTAGGCACATAAGAGCTTTGAGGGAAATGTGTGAGGAAAGAGAAACAGGGTGAAGTGGCAGAATTTCAAATTTCAATTTATTCTTTCTTGGAAGATGCTTTATAAATAAAAACATAATTTACGTATAAAATGCTTTATTTTGAAACACATACTTTAAAAAGTGAATTTCTAGAGCTCATAATTACATAAATAATAAAATGTATCTCCCATCTACCTCCTCTTCCTGAACCTATCATGCTGCATGTAAATCTGGAGAACTCTGTATTTTTAGCAGATATTTGTCAACATTGTCTTGGAAAAACCCGCTAAGATGCAGCAATTCTTACTAGTCACACAAAGCACTATATGTAAAAACATTTGATTAACCTTATAATTTACGCAGTCCTTTTCACAAATATCTTAATATTTCACTAATCCAGTGAGTATTATTGTCATGATTTTACAGAGGAAGAAAGAGGTTCACAGAAGGTAAGTGACTTACGGTCACACAGCCAGTAAGTAAACTATGTCACAAATCCCTGACTTGAATCCAAAACCCAGTCTCTTTTTTACTATGCCATATTGAAATCATCCATGCACATTAAACACCAAACATTAGAGGGAAAGCACAAATAGTTTATAACTAGATAAACTCAGTTAAACAATCTGGCTAGTCTAAACCTGGAGTCAAGAGATTTTTTCCTGATTACACTAAGTCTTTGTCGAAACCCTTGGGCACTGGTGTCTGGAAATTCATTGCCTTCCACAGTGTCAAGTTAACTCTTCCTTCTTAGCCTCTGCTTTCCAGCTGGTCCACTGCGGTTCAGCACAGGCTGTTTTGAGTCACACGGTATTTACTCTTTCAGTTAATCTGAGGGTACAGCTTATGCACAAATAAATGTTTAGCTTTAGTTTTTGATTTTCAGCCAGGAGCAGTGGCACACTAACCTACTGCTGGGTTATCTACAGACTTCCCCATCAACCATTGCTAAGGCTCCTTGCAGGCTCAGGGTCCAATATGTCACTGGAAAACTTCCATCAGCTAACCAATACACTGATTCTTTACTTGTTTTCTGATTCAGGTCTGCTGTTGGTATTTAACGTGGTTATTCTCTTTAAAACATCATGCCAATTCTCCCAAGTTTCTCTTACATGTAGGCCGTCTCCAAAAGTTGGAGATCACATAATTCAGAACATCCACTTAGCTATACTGGGTTCAGGCTGAGAGCCTGTTTGTCAGCCCAACATCCTGGGATAATCATCCACCCACACCTGGCTCAGCTGCACTGGCCAAGAATAACAGTGTATCTGCACTTTTCTAAGCAAATTTCTGAGATCTTGCCAATATTTTACAACACACACATGCTCATTCACACAATCTTAGGGACTAAGTGGATTTGTCTCTGTATCCTCTACGATTATGTGTCAGGCACATGGCAGGTGCTCAGTAGAGTTCTAAATGAATGGATCCTCAGCCTTCTGTTGGAATTCACTTCTATCAGATACAAACCACCCAATTTTAGATAGTTTTTTTTTTTTTTTTACAGGCGATAATATAGGTCCTAGCCATACCATCTGGATTATGTATCTTTAAAAATACCATTTGTCTAAGCATATGTACTAGGATTCCTTCTAGTTCTGGCATCATTCAGAGTTGCAGAGAAAGAAAATTGTAGCTGGAGTAGCTGCTATACATACTCCTGCCTATGCACTTTGCTCTCTTAACCTGAGAAGTAGCAACAGGGGTTAAAAAGTACTTTAGCGCAACAATGCATACATAGTTACTACTACTGTACTGTACACTTGAAAATGATCAAGATGGTAAATTTAGTTATATTTTACCACAATAATTTTAAAAAGTACTTAAAAATTTACTGGACAGTGCTAAAAATTCAGAACTCTTTAAAAAAAAAAAAAATAACCAGAGAAGTCCTCACGATCTCTTTGGAAATTCACTGCTAGAATAAAATTGGTAGGTAGCGTGCTACTCAAATCTATACAAGTCATCTCTTATAGAAATAAAATCGTGCACACTCTGACCTCTAAGTTAAAGCTTTTTCACAGAACTTGCAAAGCCCTTCGTGGTCTGGCCTTTGTCTACTGCCTCATGGCCAATGATGAACAAGTCAGTGGTTTTTTTTTCAAATCTTTGAACAGGACCATTTCTTCTTACCTTAGGGCTTTGCAAATCATGCTCTCTCTGCCTCAAACACCTTTCTCACAGTTTTTTTTCTGGTTAACTCTTATTTATCCTCCAGGGCTCAGCTTAAATACCATGTCTTTAGGAAGGCCTTCTTTAAACTCTCTAATGAGGTCTGGGCCTCTAGCTCTCTTCTCTGGATCCAAACATCCATCTGACCACACTCCTACAGAAGTCTGGCTTTTTCCTTTGAAGTACTTAATACAACTGTACTTAATTATATATTAGTTTCTCCCACAAGACTGAAAGTTCTAGTAGGGACTATTTCTCTTGCTAACCACCAGTACCTTGTATACAGCAGGTATTCAATACTCCCTTTCCGGGCACAGCCTTTTATCCCACAAATTAGTCTTATTGTATTTCTCAGAGGAGTAGGTGGAGAGACAGAAAGTGTGTGAGGTTGGTGAGCAGTGGAGACAGTGGCTGAAGGGCAGAGACGAAAGAAGTTTGGGCTGGGCAAGTGGGGAAGCAAGAAGGGAGTAACGAAGAACTATAGGACACGCACACAATGAGGTCTCCCTCCAGCCCCCATCATGCCACCCCCACCCCAAACAAGTCATTAAACAATAATTTATGTATTCATTTCATTAGAGAATTAGGTAAACCTCAGATTACAAAGCCAAGGCCAAAACAGTTTTGCATTAGAATGTGTTCAAGAAATCAGTCACAATTTAACTGGATTAGACTTCAACACGGAGATGATGCGTTCTTCCAAATAACCTTCACTTAGGAAGATTACATTCCTCCAACACGTGGAAAGATGATTAATACACTTTCTTCTCCCTGTCACTGAGGAGGAAATTTTCTTTCTCGATGGGCCGATATTATTTCTTTTTTGCTGCTCTTTTCCCTTCTCCTTTCCTTGGTTTCCCCTTTCCACGAAGCTTCTTTAGACGCGTTTGCTCATCCCTAAAATCCTGATGCTCATCTCTGAATGAAGAAAGAAAAAGGAATTAACCTGTTATCTTTACCAGACTGGGAAAGTACACCAATCTAGCACTGCTCTCTTAGGTCCTTGTTATCGATCCTTGACGGGCCACGTGCTCAGCTTGGCGAACAGAAAGTGCAAGGCATACCCAACATAGAAATGGGGTGTATTCCAGAAGTTCATTTATAAGTCCATTTTCCCTCACAGAAACAATGCCACAGCTGCAACTAAATTCCTAGGTCAGCCCATGTAAACCTACGTAACCATGGCACAACACTAATAATACCCCAAATTTTTCTGCAACACTAAGACTAAACACTGGGACAAGCAGAAACTGAGTAAAAGCTTTAATAGATCACAGAGACCCTGACTGCCCCAATTAACATCTACTAAGAATGGGGAGAGGTGTGGAGGAAGCTACCTCAATGGTAGTAACTCATACAAAAAGGCTACTGGGGAGACTCAGGCAGAAGGACGCCAAAGCAAAAGACAGATACTACAGGATTCAAGCAGCCAGGGCTACTTAAGTATGCAGATGGTACAGAAATTAAATACTGCCTATGCTGTACTAAATCTACTACATCTTAAGACCAAATACCTACAGAATGGTATAGTGATTAAACATGTAAGCAAGCTCTGGATTTCAACCTGGGTTCAAACCACAGTTCCACCAGGTACTAACTCTGGGACCTTGAATAAGTCACCTTACTTTCTGCACCTGAGTTTCCTCATCTGTAAGTGTGGATAATAATGGTGTATGAATTAAATCTAAGAGAGGGGTTTGCTGAGTCCAACTGTTAACGCTCTAGGATGTTTTAAAATAGATTGGCTTGATAGACGATGACGTTTCATTCCATGAACATGACAGTATACAACAGACCTCTTTGGGATTAGCTGTGAATGTCCCCAAATAACTCTCAGCAGCGCAGCTGGAGTAATTCTAAAATATATGTCCAATCATGTCACTCCTCTGTTCACAGCCCTGCAAATGGCTCCCCATCTCACCCAGAGCAAAAGCCACCATCCTTACTATAACCCCACAGCCTCTTGTGATCTGCCTCTGGTCCCCAGGACTCTCCCCATAGCCTGTACTCCTGGAACAGATCAGGCACATTCCACCTCAAGGCCTTTGCTCTGCTCTTGCCCCTGCCTTCACACTCTTCCTCAGGTCCCACTTGGCTCACTCACCATTTTCAAGCCTCTGCTTAAATCTCATCATCTCCTTGATGAGGCTGACCCTGCCTTGTTTCCTCCTGTAACCCAGCCTCTCCCCGCCCACCACAGGCCCTGTCAGCACTCTGGATCCTGCTCAGCCGGCTCTACTATTTTTTTCCACAGCACGTTCAACTTTGTAACATATCACATAATTTACTTATTTGTTTTCCCTCTTCTTCCTTCTTTCCCTCATTCCCATCAATCCTTGGACAGAAAGGTAGCTCCACAAAAGCAGAGGGCTTTGTCTCTGTTGATACAACCTAAGCACCTGGTTAAGTAATACATCAATTGTTTTTGGGAACTGCTTCCCTCCCTCTTTTGCGGGTCTCTGAATATTTTCTTTATTGAAGACTGTCTAGTTTCATCCTGCCTGATGCCACAGGAGACCTAGCATTAGAGGTGCCATTTACCATAACTAGTGACTACATGAAAATAATTTTGCTTTTTCATGGGTAACTAAGTGTTAAGTATTTTTTCCCTGTCCCCAAAGATGGCCAAATCTTTATTTTTCAAACAGATGGAGAGCAGTAGCAAACAGATAAATTAAAATAGCTGGGTGTGATTTTGCTATGGGTTATAATCTTCTACCCAGGGAATCTTCCTTCCAATATTTTATTCTGGGTCCTAATAAGTTTTTATTTTCTGAGCCCAGACTAATGGTGATAGTCCCAAAGCAATTCCAAACATTCAAAATGTCATGGATTATACCCTCTAATAATCTATTAACTAAACAAATCTATCCTATTTTGTTCACTGCTGTTCTCCTAGTGCCATCTTAAGTGCCTGTACATGGATGGTACTTAAGAAATATCTGTTGCATAAATGAATGTATTAACCTTTAGCTATCTGGAATGAATATCATGCTGCACTATTAATTTTATCGTATTAGAATGAATGGTCCCAAATAATTTTTGTATTGTTGCCCAAAGACAAGTCTAATTAAAATATGTTAAATTTTTCAACAGATGGTAGGTATTTTAACTTTATATAACTATGTACTGTTTGAATTCTTTCGTAATGAGCACATATTAGTTTGGTAATTAAAAGAATTTTTTTAAAGAAAATGATCACATAGGTATTTGATCTTTTTTCTTTCTAGAGGTATACAATTATAAGCACCTACTTCCTAGACATGAACAAACAGAAATGCATGGTGTTAAGAGCCTGTGTAATTTCCA